ACTAGTTTATTTTTTGGAAAAAGAAGGAAAATTATCACCTTATCAAAGTGGATTTAGTGTAGGAAGAGGAACTATGGATCCGGTTATGTGTTTGGAAGCGGAAATAAAGAAGGCTCTATCAAATAAAGAATCAGTAACTGCCGTGTTTTTCGATATTGAAAAAGCCTATGACATGTTATGGAGAGAGGGTTTGATGATAAAATTGGAGGAGATGGGGGTAGGGGGAAGAATGTTTAATTGGATTAGTGACTTCCTTAAACAAAGAGTAATAAGAGTGAGAGTAGGAGACTCTATATCATCTCAGGGAATAATAGAAAATGGCACTCCTCAGGGAAGTGTAATAAGTCCTTTTTATAATAATGATAAATTATATGTTTAGTAAGGTTGATAGGAGTATTGGAAGATCACTGTTTGCAGATGATGGGGCTTTGTGGTTCAGAGGAAGAAACAATAAGTTCAATATGGGGAAAATGCAGAAGGCTGTGGATGAGGTAGTTAAATGGTCATACAAATGGGGATTTAAGTTTTCTGTGGAGAAGTCACAAACTATTATATTTTCTAACAAGAAAGTAGACAGTGAATGGAAGTTAAGAATATGTAACAAAGAAATGGCACGAGTAACATCAATTAGATTCCTATGAATGTGGCTGGATACTAGACTTACATGGAAAGAACATATTGATAAGATAGTGAGTAAGTGTAAAAGAGTTTTAAATGTAATGAAATGTATGGCAGGACAAGAGTGGGGAGCAGATAGAGGGGCGCTTCAAACAGTTTATATAGCTATGATTAGATCTTGTTACATCATCAATACACTTGGTGATGTAGGCAGTGACAGTCTCCAAGTACTCTTTCTGTGGAGTTATTGTATGTGGCAGCCTGCTTAAACATATTCCAGTCAGTGGTGTTAAAACAGTCTTGAAGAGCCTCTGACGACCCTTCCGGCCACACTTGTATTTGTTTGTGAACTGGTTTGGCGACTTTAACGAGCGGTCTGTATGCAGGCATTAGCGTGACAGTGATGTGGTCTGAGGCACCGAGGTGGGGGAGGGGTAGGGCCTTGTAAGCTCCTCTCTGGGTGGGGTAAACAAAGTCCAGAGTTTTGGATGGGTTGTAGAAGAAGATATTAAGGAGATGGGGATAAACAATTATAGATGTATACCAAGAGTAATGTATCCACACAACCCCTTATGGATTCTTCCTCAGCCAGTATAGATTTAACATTACTGAAGATAAGACAGAGAGAATGAAGTAATGAGATGGAAGTAACGAGAGCAAAGGAGTATTTAGGGCTTATGTATGGAAATAATATACGGATATACACAGATGCCTCCAAAAAAAAGAGGGAGAGTAGGAGTGGCAGTTAATGTGCCAAAGTTACTGATGAAGAAAAAAGCTAGAATAAGTGATCAACTGTCAGTATATA